AAATATTAAAATTTATCATTATTTTTTAAATAAAAAAATAATTATTTTTAATAAATATAATAAAAGTAAAACTATTTTTCCCATCAAATGATATAAGGTATAAAAGTCATCATATGAACGTGACAGCGAGCAGCGACGTGGAAAGTATACTTTCCACGTATTTTTTTGACTTTTAGTAGATAGTGGAAAATTAAACCAACATTGGGGTATGAATCAAACTATGAATATGATTTTGTTGATGAACAATCTTGTGATTTTGTATTGACTGATATTTTATAGTTTTAATTATATTAAATAATAAGATAGTAATTATTCAATAAAAAATTCTCATTTATTATTAAAAAATTTTATTTAATTTATGCCCATAAGATAATAAGATATAAGTTAAGTCTTATTGATTACATTTTATTTTAATTTTAAATTTTATATCATCAAAAAAATTAAAATTTATATTTTATTTTCATTAAATTTAGTATAAAAATTTAGTCAAAATTAATTATAAATATCGTAATTAAGGAAGCTTATAGACATAAATTAGAAAGTTTAATTACAAAAAACTCTCATTTTTTATTTTGATAGTGGTAATCTTTTCTCATTTTTTAATCTATTTCATTCACATGTTGTTAAATTAAAATTTAAAATCTTTTATTTTTTCTAAAAAGATATTATAATTGAGCTATTTAATTCATCAACCCAAAAACCCTTGTTTTTTAGTAGTTAATATTTTACAATTTTCTAGTAAGTCTAAACTAAAAATACAATTTTTTGTTTTCTTGTTCTTTTGTTTTTGGGAAATTAGGAAAATAAGAATGACATTACAAAGAATTGAACTATGTTTGTAATTGAACTATGGTATAGTCCATGACCAAGATGCACGCTACTAATGCAGCCACAGCTACCGGTGCATAGTTTTTTGTTGTGCAGTATATTCTAACAACAAAACCCCCAAATTACTCCTCAAATCAAAGGATATGAATAGATTCACCCTTAAAAAAAACAAATTACTCTTTCAAATATTAATGAAGACAAATTACATATTATTTAATAAATAACTTTTAAAAAATTTAATTTAAAAACAACAAGACTTAAAAAAAATTTGTGAAGCCCAATTAAAGTATATCGACTAGCGGCCCTATAGTGAGAATCAGAAAGAAGTCCATTTTGCCCCATGGGAAAAATGAACAGAGACCATTCTGACTCCTTGGGTTTAGCTGGTGGAGAGGCTCACTCCGTCTTCTAGCAAAAAAAAATAAGAAAAAAAAACCCATTCCAGCCTCTCAATCTCTGCGTAGCAAGCTTTAGTTTTGAGTTCAAAGCCAAGCGAAGTTGAGCTAGTTTTATTAAAAGATTTTAAGCTCATACTATTCAACGAGTGGAACTAAGCCAGATAATTGAACATATTTGGTTGAAAGAACGAATATTATTTAATCAAAATATAAAAGTAAGCTAAGTTAGATAGATATAATAATAACAAATAAGGAATTCCCATTCCATGGTTGTAGCATTTTTCATTCTAGAGTGTTGAAAAGAGATGAGAATACCTAATAACATATCTAGCTAGAGCAGTAAATGAACCAAGCAGCTTGATTTAAATTTGCTTTAGCTTGTCTCATGTGCTAGATGAATTTTTTTTTCTTATATAAGAACAATGGTTAAAAATTAATATGTTAGAGGTGTTAATGAAGAGTATTAAACCTGAGACTTAAGAGTGCAAACCATGGACTACCCTTTGAGATAGTAAATGATCACTGAATCACGACACGTGAAATGCATGCTGGATGAATTGAATTTAAACTCAATAAATAATCAAGTTTAAGTTTAAGTCAGCACGTCAATACATTAGACTCGTAAGCTACTTGTCAGCAACTTGTCAGCAACTTGTTTAGATTAAATAATTAAAAATATATATTATTTGATTCAATTTAATTATTTTAAATTCTAAGTAAGTTAACATCTTGCAAGCTACTTGCCTTAGCATCAACTTTTTTGGTAAGAAAGCTTTACTTTTCTCTAAATGAGCCAAGTTGAGCTCGAGTTTAAGCATTCCAATGCTTGGCTCGGCTCATTTACAACACTAAATGCATCTCTTTAGGCAACTTTCCGATACCAAATTGGCCTAAAAGTGAGACTATTCCCAGATTTTGAACCAAATTGATAGGAGGCAGTCAACACCTATTTTTGTTTATGGGAGGTCAAAAACACCACTACCTCCTTGAGCACAACTTTTAAGTACATTGTTCAACATCCGCTGAAGAAGCTACTCGCTCCAAAGGAGCTTCAGCTAAAAAGCATTTAAGAAAGGAAAATTCATTCTCAATCCATAAGGATATGAGTTATAGACAGTGTTGCAGAAAGCACCGCCCAGGCGTGCCAGGACGGCACCGTTGCTGTGGGTAGTCATTTATCACCCACCTTGGCTCATAGGCGACGGAGAAAGGGTACAAAGTTTTAGAAGGGGTCGCACAGGAAAGTGAGATTTGGGCGACGCATAAGAGCGATCAGGTGCTCCCATGTGTCCCTCAATTCTCCAACGCAATCAAAATTTTAAATTGAACAAGAGGAAAACGATTTTGTTGAAAACTGTGTGCATATGTGTTCAAGACAGACTTTCCTTCCACTTTAAATTTATTTGTTATTATTAGTTGGGTTGTTTTTTTTTTTTTTTACCTTTTAATTTTTTTCTTTTATTTTTGGTTTTGGATTTTTTTCCTTTCATTCGGTTTTTTCCGTTGCAATTTTGTTTTGATTTTCGGTTTTTTTATGTGGATTAATACATTCCCTTAAGCGTCTGTTTGGTACAACGATTAAAATTCAATGGATAGCGAAAAACGGGTAGTGGATAATGGATAGCGGTAACGGATAGCGGGTGGTGGTTAACTAATAGCGAAAATTAGGTAGCTAATGGTAAATAGCGGATTCGATGAATATAACTGTTTGGCTATACAATAGTTAACGGTTATTATTTAACATTAAATGACTAATAAGGACATGTTTAAAAATAGGACAATTATACATACACCCAAACAATCAACACCCATCTCAACACCTAAGGCTTATGAACAGTAAAATTACAAATTTACCCCTCCTCATTTTAGCCTTGGGTGTTGAGATGAGTGTTGATTGTTTGGGTGTATGTATAATTGTCCTTAAAAATAAATAAATGTATTTTTTTAAATATTTTTATTTATTATTATTAAAATTATTAATTTTATAAAAATAATAATAAATAAATA